GGTGCAAGTATTTCTATCGTTATTGTATTCTATTACAGTAAATATTCTATTATTTCTTAATTTGTAAAGATTTTCGCGACATGAATAGTTAATGCAAACATATTTGTTACCGTACCATTTTAACATAAAAATGGATAACAATAATTAGTGATTGATATTACTGATAACGAGAGATATAAATATAGCGATCGATTATTTACAAATTATTTTTTTACGAAAGAATCAAAAATGCAAAATCAAACAATATTATTAATTGGTAGAACAGGAAGCGGAAAATCCACCGTAGCGAACGTAATAAGCAATACAAACGAATTTAAAGAAAGTTCGGGTTCTACCAGTGAAACTAGAGATGCCAATGTTCGAGATTTTTTAATTGATGGGATGTTGTTTAAACTCATTGATACAGTTGGTCTTGGTGATACAAGATTAACTCAACAAGAAGTTCTTTATAAACTGGCAGAAGCTTTTCATTCTATCAAAAACGGGTTAAGTCAAATACTATTTGTCACAAGTGGAAGATTTACCAAAGAAGAAATGGACGTTTATGGTTTATTAAGAACCATTATTTTTGACAATAATGTTGTCAATTATACTACCATTGTACGAACTAATTTTCCTGAATTTGAAGATGCCGACGAGTGTGAAAATGATAAACGACAAATGATTAATGAAAACCAAGATCTTTCAACAGTAATTAGAGCATGTAGAAAGGTTATACATATAGATAATCCACCATTAGTTGGTCGTGCTAAAGAAACCAACAAAATAATCAGGGAAGAATCTAGAAAAAGAATTCTATTGCATTTAAGTGCTTGTAGAGAAGTTTACAAACCAGATAATTTAGGCCAATTAAATGAAAGAATTAGAAATTATATGACTGACAAAGAAAAATTAGAAAAACTTGTAGTTAGCATTGAAGAAGATCTGAAGATACAACAAGAGAGAGTGGCAAGGCAAAAAGAAGCAATGGCAAAACAAAGAGAAGAAGCGGAAATTAAAATGAGAAAGTTAAATGAAGAAATGCAAAGAGAAGCCAAAAGAAAATTGGATGAAGCAAATAGAAAATTTCGAGAAGAGAAGGAACAACAAAGAAGGGCAGAGGAAGAACAAAAAAGAGCAATGGAAGCAGAAATAAGAAGATTAAATGATGAAGCCTCTCGACAAGCAAGCGTACGTGTTTGTGATGGTGATTCCGGCGGCTGTAATATAACTTAAATAATATTTTTCATTTGAAAAATTTAATTTTTATATTAATACGAATTGACTTTTTCCAATTTAAAAATTTTTTTTTGTTTAATTTTTTAATTTTATATTAATACGAATTGACTTTTTAATTAATAAAATGAAAATTTTACAAAAAGTTGCTCTCAACGCATGTTCAATAGGTTTTTGTCCTTTAAGTTCCCAACAATATTTCCCAATGCATTGCTTCCAATAAGGATGCTGTTGGGACTAAATTGAAGAGTTTGTCAAACCGTATGAATTTAGAGCGTTTGAGTTCTGGTTTGATTATTTTTAGGGGTTGGCACCGTTAACCGTTTAACCATGGTTAACCGTGGTTAAGATATTTTTTTAACCGGTTAATCACCATTGTGGACCATTTGATGAAAATTCATCAAATAAAATACATGGAATTGTGTCATATGTTGCACCTGAACTACTTAGAGGCACAGATAATGCAAAGAAACAGATATTTACAGTGTTAGGATGTTAATGTGGGAATATTTGCATGCCATCCACCATTTGATGATAAAGTTCATAATCATCACTTAATTTTTGATATATGTGAAGGTTTACGACCACCAATATTGCCAGGAATGCCTGATGATTATGTACAAATGATGCAGAGGTGTTGGGATGTGGACCCATCAAAAAGACCAACTAGTAGAGAGCTTTATGATTTTGCTGATAATAAACGTAATGAAGTTTTTGAAAGTAATAGTAATACTACTAGTAGTGGTAGTAGTACTTTGCAACAAGTATACAAATCACATCCAGGTGCATATCATACAAGTAGAATATTGGATGAAGAGATTGCTAAATCTAAAGACTTTAAAAGTTATACAAGTAATAGTTCATTAAATAATCTTGATTGTAACTCTTTTTTCTAAATGTTAACAAAGGTGAATAAAAATTTCATTATTAATTAATTAATTGGAAATTACTATCCATTACTAACAATATTAATTAATCAATCAATAAACATTAAATTCTAGTAACAATAGTAAAAGAAGAGAATCAACGAATAATTTAATCTCCACTATAAATTTATTCGTTATCTCTTTATTTATCTTTTTTATTTTATCCTTATTTTGTTTCTTTAAAGCTAAATTATAATAATGTTTTGAAATAATAAATCTTTTGAGTCTTGTTAAATTGTGATATCATTTCAGTTGATTAATAACTTTGGCTATTCTTGTTAGTTATTTGCAAATAATTCGGTGCTTGTCAATTAATCAGTTTACAAATTTACTTTAGTTTTCTCCCTTTTGCACCTGGACGAGTCTGTGAGCGCACTCAATGGCACCAGATAATTGTAAATAAATAAAGATGCCCTTTTACAAAGCTCAGGGCTTCTATATTTACTTGTGATTGGTTTATTCGTTTATATTTATTGGCTGATTGCAAACTCGCTTTGTAAAACTTAAGTAGCTTGTTTAACAGACTTACATTTACAATTACAATAATACTACAAGTATTCCGATTAACCTTCGGACGATGCTTCATTAACATCCACTAGTTAACCAACTTTAGTCTTAACTAATCATGTTATTTTTAAAAGCTTATTAACGTTTAATAAAAATAATGATTCTATCATTGTTTTATTTTATCAGAACGTTGACTATCTATTATTTTCCTCTGCAAGGACCAGAAGTTATTCTTCGTTGATCACTGCAATAAGGAAGGATAAATATAAAAATGGAAAATTAAAGGTTTATAATTGCAAAGTAACTTGATCAATATTGTTGATATTATACAAAAAGCTTTTGCGTAAATTATACACTAAAATTAGTTGACCCTGGAGCATAAAGTACCGATGATTTTATCTACCCCGATTATGTATCGCGTTATTAATACTAATATAATAATAAATGTTCGAGTTTAGTAGTAGATGAGTGTGTGGGAACTGAATTGTATTAAGTAAAAGAAAGGCTTAGCTCTTGGGAACAACTGATGAAACAAAAGGAATACATATTTATAAATTTTTTTGTGAGTTTTTATGTTTTATTATTAGCATTTAAAGCAATTTTACTTGCATCATTTTGATTTAATTTGACATAATAGTTTTACAACCTTTGGTAGCATTTCGTCAAACATCATTAAGGTGGAGTAAAGGGTGATAGGAGATTGTGAACAAACGAATTCTCCAATTACCAAAACCCATACTTATTAATTTATTATTATAACAGCAACAAACTGAGGACGACGATGATAGTTAACAGATACAAAGAATGGACCATTTAACCACAATATTGTTGATATTATACAAAAAGCTTTTGCGTAAATTATACACTAAAATTAGTTGACCCTGGAGCATAAAGTACCGATGATTTTATCTACCCCGATTATGTATCGCGTTATTAATACTAATATAATAATAAATGTTCGAGTTTAGTAGTAGATGAGTGTGTGGGAACTGAATTGTATTAAGTAAAAGAAAGGCTTAGCTCTTGGGAACAACTGATGAAACAAAAGGAATACATATTTATAAATTTTTTTGTGAGTTTTTATGTTTTATTATTAGCATTTAAAGCAATTTTACTTGCATCATTTTGATTTAATTTGACATAATAGTTTTACAACCTTTGGTAGCATTTCGTCAAACATCATTAAGGTGGAGTAAAGGGTGATAGGAGATTGTGAACAAACGAATTCTCCAATTACCAAAACCCATACTTATTAATTTATTATTATAACAGCAACAAACTGAGGACGACGATGATAGTTAACAGATACAAAGAATGGACCATTTAACCATGAAATATTTTGAAAGATGCAACCTTGAAAACTATTCAATGATTAATTATTTGAGCTGAAGAAGAAATTAATGTATAAATAAATTATTATATTCGATGTCTCCATTTATCACACATCTTAATCATCTGACTAAATATTAAGAAGCAATCCTTGTTGAATGTTGCTGTGACAGACGGATGTTCTGTTATTTATGCTTACTACATCAATTGTAAGACGAGAGTAGCTGCTTCGCTGTATTTCTCATCTAGTAAAAGTAACTATATAATTAATGACGTTTGCTACAAATATTGTAGGGACGAGTTTTATGGAATACAAGCCTTCACATTATAAAGTGGTACAGTTATACACTTGTATTAATTATTATTAGATATATATATATTCTATTAAGATTTTACTAATTAATAATCGATCATTAATGATGTACGCGAATTTAGTTTAAAGCCGATAAACGAGAAAAATAAATAATAATTTTATTTTAAAAAACACAACCTTTTTATATCTTAGAACCTTTGGTGTTTGAAAAGGCGAATTGGTTGACTATATAATCAAATACTTGTACACTTATCACTCCTAAATTAATTGTTTTACCGCATCTATCAAAGATCAATTCTATACTCCGACGTATCAAAAGAAAACCAACCAACCAATAAAATTATAAAAGGGTTGATTAACACAGCTCCTCTTTTTTATGTCATAAATCTATTCAAAATTTTTATACATTCTTAATCGGTTCTCTCAATGAATTGCTTAAAGTACTTGATAAATGTACGATTTGTTGATTTTACCTATGTAATTTTAATTAATAAAACATAAATAATCATCCAAAGTTATATCTTTACATTGATATTCTACTTGATTCATCCAAAAAATATTGAACTTTTAAATGGTGATGAGCCTTGATTCTGGCAAAGAAAAAGAAAAACCATGTTTAGTTATTGATAAAATATTTTGGGGTTTGTAATTATTCGAAAGCATTGGAAAAAGCAAGACATTGTCATAATAAAAGTAGAAGGTGTAAAATAATGAAGATACGCCTGTAAGAACTTTGGTAATTACAAAAATTACATAAATGGGTTGATTGCAAATAATTATTAATGAAATTTATTTTTTAATTGTTATGTATATTTCAAGAATTATGACAAAATGGTTTCATTTTCTTGTCGTGGAAAAAAACTGTGAAAATATAATTAGAATGACAAACAATGATGAATTACAAATATTCCCTGATTTGGTAGCGAAGTAGCAAGATTACCGAAAACTTCATATTAGTATTAGTAACAATCTGGCAATGCGATTAATGTCGAATTATTAGACAAATATATGACACAAAAGGATCCCCAACCAACAAATATGGCAAATCTACCAACAATCAAAACAAGGATAAAGGTGCTTTGAAGACCAATTGATTTCTAACTTAGATATCAGTGAAAAAAAAGATCTTAATTCGTATTTATTAAAAATGAACATTTTCATTCTGGTGCTGGTGGAGAAAACAAGAGAATAATTCCTTCACAAACTAGCCTATTCAACATTATGAAAGAGTGCTGGTGATTATCCTTTGAAGGGAGAAAGAGGTGATTTAATACTGGATAAATCGGCGAGAAACTTAAAATCGTTAATTTGCAACAAATCTCGTTTCAATGATCCAAGAAAATTGTAATTGACAATTGAATTATTTGTCTATTACTAAAAATGCTAAAAAACATTTTACAATTTACGAATTATCATTTATCTGATTTTTTTTGGATTCATTGATTTGTTTACTTTTAAGAAAAGCATTGCGCATTTTTACAATTGAATTTATTATTCGGTTACTTCTTAATTAATTGACAATTAAATTGATTATTATTGCTAAAAATAAAGCGTTGTATGTCTAATTAAATTGACAATTGAATTGAATGCTTTGATCCCGTATATACAGCCATTTCCAAAGCTGGATTGCAAGCTTCGTAAATCTTGACTTTAACACTTATTTTGACCAAACTCGCCCATATAATTGTTGAATAATTGATAAAACGTTCATTTTGCAAACTCAATTTACAAGTTCAAAGACCTTGACTTTAACACTTACTTCAATTAAACCCATCTATATTATTATTGAATAATTGATAAACATTTGTTTTGAAAGCTTCACAGATCTTGACTGACACTTACTTTGATCAAACCCACCTATATGATTATTTAATAATTGATAAAGCGTTCATTAAATATATTTTACAAACAGCTTCGTAAATCCCGATTTTAACACTTACTTCGATCACACCTGCCTATATGATTATTGAATAATTGATAAACATTCGTTTTGCAAACTTCATAGATCTTGTCTAACACTTACTTCGATCAAACCCACCTATATGGTTATTTAATAATTGATAAAGCGATCATTAAATATATTTTACAAACAGCTTCATAGATCTCGACTTTAACACTTACTTCAATCAAACCCGCCTATATAATATATGAAGATCCATCAATTATGAGAAAAAATTATTATTATAACAACAAGTAGCAAACAACAACAATGAAACATCATTTTTTGAGATGATAATAAAGATTAAGATCCGATTTTGTTTCATGAAAATATTCAAAGTTTTTCAAAAAAAAAAAGTGAGGACGGCTGTCCTATTTATATGTTTTGGATTTAATAAAATAGACTACTGTCTTGACCCGAGTAATGTCATTTTTTTGTTCTTTGCGATGAAGAAGATGCATCCCAAACACAACTTTAAAAAATAAATGAAGTTTTGTTCTCGCGTAGAACAGTGTGCGTGATTTGTATCACGAAAAGCAAAAACTCGCATTATGTTCTCAGTTGTGAGCTTGTTTGTAAAATAAAACATTTGCCGTATATACAACAAATTTTTGCTAAAATATGGTGAAAACATTGATTGTTCCAAAAACCAAAAAACCAGGCACGGCTAGACAATCGGCAAAAACCTGCACAAAAGTCGTACGACTTGCGGGTTTTGGTGATACGAAAATGTGATTGACCTGAATTTTACCAATGTTACACACATTAATTAAATTTAGATCATTTATTCCTTCTTTGTACCCGAGTATGCCGCCACTTATTACAAAAAGGAAAAACCATTTAAATAACTTGCTTTTGAGGAGGAAAAAAAGATTATTTAAAAGTTGTTCTTTATGATAATTAAATGATAACGAATCAAGTAATGAAAGTGATGATGAACCAATTAATGAAAGTGATTAATGAAAGCGATGACTAATCAAGTGATAATGATAACGATAGTGAGGTAAGTTGGAGAGATACAGATTTGGATTCTAATTGTAGTTATTTCGTGAAGATGGAGTGAATAATTATAAGCCTTCTGCACGTCATTCTGTTTACTTGAGAAATGAACCACGAACTAGGCAACAATTATCAATTATTTGATAAAAGAAAAATTATTATTATTATTATTGTCTTATTTTAGATATATTTAAGATAAAACTGTATTGTTATCTATAGCCAAGCATAAAGGTTATTAATAAATAAAATTATTGAACTGGTTTTCAATATTATTGTGATTTTATGTAGTACCTCAAGTATATTATATAGGTTGCTTTATATTTTATAATAATTTATTAATTTGGTTGTTGAATATCTTTTGGATATACTAACATCAATAAAGTGGTTCATTAATTGGCTCAGATCATCGATAACAATATATAACCAAATAAGTAAATTAACAAATAAAAAAATGGTCAAAATGGCCAGGCAGCAAAATCGGCCAAAACACTCAAATATCAACACTGAAATATGCTATTGATTGATGATCGATGATTTGAAATAATGCTTCAAGCTTCGTGAAACTAATTAAATCGATTAGAACAGTGCGCAACATATTAAAGGAATTTTATATAAGAAGGGAAGGATTGAAGGTGGAGTGAAAAAAAAAAAAAAAGAGAATATTAACCCGAAAAAAAGAACTTTATGACGTGAAATTCTTTTGATCCTCTCTCTAAATAGTTAATTATAATAATAATATTGAAATCAATTAAATTCTTTAGTATTCGTTTTTTTTTTTCCTGTGTATATAAAAGAATCAAAACTTTCACATCTGAAAATTTGGAACTCACAATACTTTCTTACGAGTTGCTTATTTTTCGGCCGTAATAAACTAAATAATTGATTCTTATCTCTTAAATTTGCACTAGTTTCTCCCAAAGAAACTTTTTTTTTTTATTTTTCTAAAAATAGCTATTCTCTGAAGAAAGAAGGGTTTGTTTATCATCCTTTCTTTCTAAAAAGAAAATACATTTCTTACCTTTATCTTTAATCCTTTTCACTTCCTTGCCTAATTTCTTGGTAACTTTATATTTAGCTAAAATAATTTCATGCATGGAATCCACTCCCATTATACAAAAAAGAAAGTTTTGGTTTTATTCCTTTTTATTTCGCTTTATTCCTTCTCAGTGCAAGGAGGTCCGGATTTTAGTACATGTTTATGTTAGGATGGTAGGTTTTTATAACACTGTGGTTAAATTACTAACACTATACCCGACAAACAGTTATTTTGTTGCGATAAATGTGCTTTTACGTGTTTTGCAACAACGTTGGTAATATAAGTTTTGTGTCACAATTGGCGTGGAGGAATTGTAGGAGATACTACACCGGCTAATCTTGCAGTAGATATTTTGCCTGGCTTAGAGGCTTCAAGTTTTGTTATAGTAATGATTCACGCGTGTTACCAGTAAATGTGAATGTAAAAGCAGTTTGCAAATATCAACTATTAATATAACATGCTGTGCTTTAAGAATAATGGAAATTGGGTTTGCACTGGTAGCGTAGGAATTAGTATTAAAGATATTTCTCAACCTATGTACTATAAAGAAAGCATTGGGTTTTTATTTGTCCTCAAAAAGCCTTTACTTATATATTTGAGGGCGATGTTGATGGTGGTAGTGAGACTTATCATTTATTACTCATTATTTATTCATCATCTTTATTCAACGTTTATTTATTATATCATATTTATTTATTTTATAAATTTAATAAAGTACTATATCTTTTTAGATATAATTTATAGATTTCATCAATCATTCTTCATCATCAATGTTTAAATCTTTTTGATAAAATGAAAATAGTGACAGAAGACATCATGAAACTTTTCACTATTATGACGTACTGCTCTTTGAGGATACTTAAATTATCATTGATCGGTTTTATTATTAATGATATTATTATTTATTACTTACGCTTTTAAAAATAAAACTTTATTTGTTTCAATCCAATAATAATCGTATGGCGATTTTTCCTTTAAATTCCAACAAGCAGGATTATAACCTCTAACCAACTCAAGTGTTTCCTTAATTTCTTTAAAAATAAATCATTATGACATGTTTCTTCGAAAACTCATGGTTTCCATAAGCCATCAATTCAAATTTATATGATATGTTTTTATATTTCATCAATCTAAAACTTAATGAGTTTTCTTTGACCATTTTGTTGTTGTTGAGGAAATGACAATGATAAATTTTTTGTTGCCATTCATCATCAAGATGATATTGAAGAAGCTTTTCATAGTTTCTTTATCAAGTAATTCTTTATATGGTTGAAATTTTCAAATAGAATCTTATTATTATTTTCTTTTTCTTTGATTTGTTCTATTCCCCCGTTGATAACATAACTCCACACATCAATTTCTTTTTAATTCCAATCATCTTTTCTTTAATATGGTATGAATATAAAAGTAATGATTTTTCAATTAATACAATTTTCTCTTTTTTTTTTCTTACTCGTCATCTTTTTCAATATTATTAACAACAAGAGAATTTGTAATTAATTCTCCGCTTTCCATAAATCATTCCCTTAGAATAATCATAAAGAATACTAAATGATAAACGATTATTTGATGAAAATTTTCTTGATTCATCCTTCATCTGTAATATACTATTCTTGCAAGTCATCAATCCATTCATCAAAATTTCATTTGCATTTAGATTTTCTATTAATAACCCCATTGTACACACACACACACACACATATATATATATATACCTTATATAAAAATAAAGAAAATTATTTGTTTTTCGGGTAGATGAATAATAAAACAATAATCAAATTATTCAACAATGAAAAAAGTTAATCGCTTACGACAAAAGAACTCCATCATCATTGTTATTATTCTTAGATCTTTCTTAGTCCAATTATTGATAACGCTGCATTAAAATATGAGGACACTGCTTTTAAAATATTTGAATGAGCTTTAAAAATTTCTCGCCTTTATTTTTATTTCTACATTATAAGAATCTGGTTCGTCCAACAGTCCCGTTAACCTTGCCAATATGTTTTAAATGGTAATGAATAGTTTTCACTGCTACTTCAAGGTTAAAAAATGTTTGATATTTTGAAGAATATAACAAACCGTCTCAACCACCATCTAAAAATGATAGTGACCAAAATAACACAGGTAATATCAAAGAGAAAAAAGATGCTACTGAACGATTTGCTTAGTCAATAGGAATATGCCTATGAAAAAAAAAGCGCAAATATTACCAAATTGAATTTCGTTCAGAAAAATCTTGAAGAGCATCTTGATTTGCGAGAAGTCTTGAATATTCGAGGTAATAACTTTGTCAGTATTGACCAGGTTGAAATAGTTTTCCTAAATTGTAAGATTGTGTTTAAGTCTTGATGTAACAAATTATCCCGAGTTAAAAATCCTTGCAGTTTAATTATACTGAAATAAACTTTCTAAATCTTGGCTAATGTCCAATATTAGATGTTTTGACTGCCTCCTTTACTCCTATTGAAAAATTTTTGCGCCAGAGTTGGGGATCTTGCAATTTTCCTGCTGTCATGAGTTTAAGTAGCTGGAGGCTCAAATTATATTTATTCATTGCAAAATTAAAGCAAAAGATTGATTGTTCACATTTAGATTCGCTTGATGTAGAAGGCTGACCATTGATAACTAACTTAGATCTTAGTATTAATCATCAATTAACTCCTCGGGAATAGGATAACCAATTTAGATTCATCCAAGGCTAAAGATTTTATTTTGACTCGGTTTACCATCATGTATCATGTTATTGCTTCATTATTAATGAAATCAAGAAAAGATAATCGACTTGAAAAAGTTATTATTAATTATTATTATTGATTTAGTCGAAATATGGTAGTAAACCCCAATAATAATAATGTCTAGCAATTTTGGCCCCTGAAATTTCTATTTTTTTTATTGCTTCATGATGATGATAGTATTAGTATCAAAATCGTTCTTTTGCATAATCCAATAAAATTGGATTTTTTGTGTGATAACTTGGAATAAAAATTTCTTAAATCACCATCATCTTCGTTTTTTTTTATCTTTTTTTGAAAATAAACTAGCGGTGGTGGGTGACGCACGCATGAACTTTTTTGATAAGCAAACTTTGTAGCAATCAATTGTTACTGGTAAAATTTCCCAAATTTTTAAATAAAATTTCAAAAAATTTTTTTTTTACATATTACCCCTTTATTCATTTTATACATATACACACCCTTTCTCTTGTACATAATATATTTTTTTTTCTTGTCGTTAATAAATCTTTTTGTCAGTTTCTTTAGTGTTAATAGCTGCTGCCGGTCAATAACCGTTATCATTAACCGCAATCGATAGTTGCTTTATATCAAATATTTTCAAAACAATATAAATAAAACATATTAATTTTGCAAAAGATCTCGAGTATTTATAAATGTCTAACAACAATTCATTGCCTTGTATTCAAAAGTTAAATCAATTAAATGAATCAGCATGGCTTGCGATGGGTAAATATAATAAACCACACTTTAAAAAAGCGTTTGAAACGTATCATTATTATGGCTTTTTTTTGTTTAAAGTGATAAATAAATAGGGTCTAAATTTTTCTTTAGGTGCTGCTGCCGAATTGTTGCAAGAATATGATAGAGCAATGAGTGCGTATGAATCAGCCTTGCGACATAATGCTTATTCTATTACTGCTTTACAGGGTATTGCCTCACTTTGTCGGGGAAGAGAACAGTTTCCAAGGGTAAAATGAATTTATATTACATGTATAATATTTATACATTAAAGAGATATGCATCAAATATAAGTATTCATATTTTATAAATCTATTTATTAATTAAATAATTTACATTTATTGGTTAAAAGGCTATTGAGTATTTTCAAAGAATTTTAAATATTGATGCAAGGAATGGTGATATTTGGGGATCTTTAGGTATTTTTTATTATATTAAATACATATGTTGTACAAACATGTGGCACGATCATATAATATTACATGTTATAATATAAAGGTCACTGCTATTTGATGATGGATGAGTTACAAAAGGCATACGGTGCATACCAACAAGCATTGTATCATTTACCCAATCCTAAGGTTATCTTAATTATAATCTTTTCAACCTTTGATTTAACAACCTTTCTATTTTGCATGATAATAACAAAAATATTAATCATATTTTGCTATTTGTATAATTAGGAACCTAAACTCTGGTATGGGATAGGAATACTTTATGACCGTTATGGCTCACTTGATCACGCCGAAGAAGCTTTTTCTCAAGTTATAAGAATGGATTCTAAATTTGAAAAAGCAAACGAAATCTATTTTAGATTGGGGATCATTTATAAACAACAACTAAAATACGAACAAAGTTTAGAAGTAAAATATTGTTTATTTATAAGAGCTTTTTTACTTATTTATTGAGCACGTGAATTGATGTTCATTGCACCGCTTTTATAGTGTTTCAAATATATTTTAAATAATCCGCCAAGACCTTTGACAGAAGTTGATATTTGGTTTCAAATCGGACATGTGTATGAACAACAAAAAAACGTGAGTCCTTGGCACGCAAGCAATCATAGCTATATCTAATATTGTATACATATATACATGCACATATATTAGATATATTATTAATCAAACAAAATCTTTAAATTAAAAAAAAGTTTACCACTGCCAAAGAAGCTTACGAACGCGTTCTAATAGATAATCCTACCCACGCAAAAGTATTACAACAACTTGGTTGGCTATATCATCAACAAAGTCCTTTCAGGAACCAAGATGTGGCAATCTCTTATTTAACTAGATCTTTAGAGTCAGGTTATTTATCACATTTAAGTCAAAATAAGATAGACCTGGAAAATTTGGCATTGATTGATTAGTAATTGTTTATTTTTAATTGTAGATGGCAATGATGCACAAGCTTGGTATTTCCTTGGACGTTGCTACATGGCTCAACAAAAATACGGCAGAGCGTACGAGGCTTACCAACAAGCAGTGTAAGTATTCATCATCATCATCATCATCATCACTACTACTACTACTACTACTATCATTAAATATATTTAAAATTGATTATATATTTAGTTTTCGTGATGGAAGAAATCCAACATTTTGGTGTTCTATTGGTGTTTTATACTATCAAATAAATCAAGTAAGTATAAATATTTATTATTTATTAAATTTGATAAATTTTCTTGGATCTTTAATTTACGAATGAATTTTTTTTTAAAGTATCGTGACGCGTTGGATGCTTATAGTCGAGCAATTCGTTTAAATCCATACATTAGTGAAGTATGGTACGATCTTGGCACATTATACGAATCGTGCAACAATCAAGTAAATGATGCGTTGGATGCATATCAGCGAGCTGCTGAATTAGATCCAGCAAACCCTCATATAAAACAAAGATTGCAGATGCTTAGAAATCAACAAACTCAAGGTGGCCAAACAACTGCGCCGATTCCTCAGGATATAAACCCTCAGGCTTTTCAACAACAAACAAATCCTAATTCAATGTTTGGAAATAATCCCGGACCATTATTAGGTTCTAGCTCCTCATCTTCAACTTTAATGTCGAGTTATGGAAATAGACAACAACCACCGCCACCACCGCCACCTTCTTCGTCTTCCAATAATAACAATAATATCTCACAACATCCTATGTCTTTACATGATGTTGGTCCTAGCCAACGTGATATGTCTCGTAAATTGCCACCGATGAATGCCAGTAACCTTAATAACAACAACAACAACAGCAACAACAACAATAATAATAACAACAGTAGCAGCAGAAGAAGTCCAACCAGTCATTATGCATTATCTCCACCTTCAACACAACTTACTTTGAATACTAATTCTTCCAACAATGTTACTAATTCTAATAATACCAATCCACTAACACCACAACAACCTTCATCGAATCATCATCACCATCATCATATTCATGATTCAACAAGATCTAATACACCACCACCTTTAGCCCTTTCACCAACACCAACTCAACCCACTCCGTTAATACCTCCAATATCAACTCATATTCGTGACTCAACAAGATCTAATTCTCCACCACCAACACAATTGCCGCCTCCAATACAAAGACCATCATCTCCCTCATTGGTGTCTCCATCATCTTCATCGCATCATCAGCAGCATCATCAGCATCATCATCATATTCGTGACTCTGCCATATCTATATCTCCGCCTCCACATCCCCCACAATCTCAACAACAACAACAAAATTTGCCACCTCCTACTACTGCTTCCAATACTGTGATGTTGGTCCTAGCCAACGTGATATGTCTCGTAAATTGCCACCGATGAATGCCAGTAACCTTAATAACAACAACAACAACAGCAACAACAACAATAATAATAACAACAGTAGCAGCAGAAGAAGTCCAACCAGTCATTATGCATTATCTCCACCTTCAACACAACTTACTTTGAATACTAATTCTTCCAACAATGTTACTAATTCTAATAATACCAATCCACTAACACCACAACAACCTTCATCGAATCATCATCACCATCATCATATTCATGATTCAACAAGATCTAATACACCACCACCTTTAGCCCTTTCACCAACACCAACTCAACCCACTCCGTTAATACCTCCAATATCAACTCATATTCGTGACTCAACAAGATCTAATTCTCCACCACCAACACAATTGCCGCCTCCAATACAAAGACCATCATCTCCCTCATTGGTGTCTCCATCATCTTCATCGCATCATCAGCAGCATCATCAGCATCATCATCATATTCGTGACTCTGCCATATCTATATCTCCGCCTCCACATCCCCCACAATCTCAACAACAACAACAAAATTTGCCACCTCCTACTACTGCTTCCAATACTACTTCTTCAATGGGATCTTCGTCTCCTCACATACGTGAACCAAACAGATCAAATTCACCAAGCCCTTCACCAACTCAACCATCACAACAAAGCTCTTCTTCTAGTAGTAATAATAATAACAACAACAACAACAACAATAATAATAATAATAACAATAATAATAATAATACAAACCATCATCTTAATCATCATCATAATCATCATCATCATCGTAGTGGTAGTGGTGATTTAAGAGTATCTAGTTCTCCACCCCCACCTTCATCACTTTCACAATTACCACCTCCGCCTACACAACGTTCATCCCCTCCTCCATTAGTGTCTCCATCATCGCAACAACATCATCACCATGTTAATGAATCAAATAGGGCTAATTCTCCCCCACCTCCACCCAGCAATACTTCTACTAATAGTAATCAGCATTCTCTTAATAGTATTATGTCACCGCATGACTAATAAACCAATTTTTTAAGCCAATTAAGTGAATTTTATTTAGCTTTGACGTTTATTACTAGGAATTAGTCAATTAGAATAATGGTGATAATTATGATCATGACAATTATAAATAAAGTTCTTATGATATTATAAAAGGAAAATAAAATAAAAATTTTATTATTATTTTTTTATGATATTTGGTGAAAATTAAAATAAAAAAATATTGATTTTAAAAATTTAAAATTCATGTAAATTATTTTTTTATGAATTTTCTCTTTTAAATAACTTCGATTTTTTTTTTATATATTAATATGTTTTATTTTTTTAAGTTATTTTAAATAAAAAAAAAAAAAAAATTGAAAAAATAAAATAACAAAAACTTTAATAATTATTAATTATTATTACTTTTATCATTAAATACACATGATTTTTTTTCTTCCTCTTTAAGCAGAATACAAAGCATCCAAAAAACCACAAGCAACCTCATTAACAATTGAACCATCGGGCAAACTAGCAGCCATCCCATAAATGGCAGCAGTTCCCGATAATTTTTTATTATTATTCGTGGTAGATTTAATTTCGTTGATTGAATCTTCAAGGTCATTTAAAAATTGTTCTGCGTGAGGTACAGTTAATAGCGTACAAGCGATATGTACTGCTGGTGGATTTTGCAATGCGTTAAGATTCCAGCCTTTCTTTGACATTTGATCATTAATCTCGTAAACGTTCAATGTCTTAGATCCAAATGCTACAACTGATACAAGTGGTTTTCCATAAACGAAAAGATCTTTTGATTTACGTATACTACATATATATGATGATGTGTATATACATGTCCATTAATCACGCATGTATTAATTGATTGACTAAATTTGGTTTTCATAGAATAAATATTAATGTAAATATAACACATACCCAGCTTCAATTTTTTTAGCACATCCTACAATTTTTTTAGTTGCATCGATATAACCGTATTTACCTATACTCATCAATGTAGCCCAACATCCCGCAATCAATGCTCCCGGACTATAAAAAAAAATGACAATTATGATTATAATGATATTATAATTATATAAATATATTAGAAATATTAGATTTTACCGTGAACCTGCAATTGAAGGCGAACAATAAATCCCACCCGTCCAGTCGGGTGCAAAGAAATATTGAAATTTACGAAGTTTCTTTGATCGATACATAATTACTGAAGAACCTTTTGGTGCAAATCCATACTATAAATATATAAAAAAATTAAATTAAAAACTATTTTTTTTGTAAATATTTTATATATATAATTTTTTTTTAAAAAAATAGTTTTTTAATTAAGTTTCATGGTTGCTTTTTTTAAAAAATTAAATGCGAAAGAATCTATCTATTCAAAAAAATTAATAGTGATAATACCTTATGAGTATCACATGAAATCGAAGTTACTCCATCGATTCTAAAATCAAAAGGTTGAGCTGGAAATCCTGCCTCTTCTAAAAATGGCACCAGAAAACTTCCTAAACAACAATCTACATGCATTCCAATATCATATTTTTTTGCTATTGACGCTAATGAAGGAATGTCATCCATAATTCCATGAGGAAAATTTGGTGCTGATCCTGCAATCTTTTTTACAATTTAATTGATTGATTGATCGATTATTTAATTATAAACTTTGTCGGCCAATAGAGTAATCCTAATGTTAATATTAATGCCTTACCATTATTGTATTTTTATTGATTGCTCTACCAAGTGCTTTAGTATCTACTCTACATGTTATATGATCAATTGGTATGTGTACAAGTTTAATATTGAAATATGAAGCTGCTTTATCAAAAGCTGCATGAATTGTATCCGGAACAACACTATTATATTAAAAATGGGTCAATAAATTAATCAATATATGTTTTAAAAAAACAAATAATTTAAATAATTTTTGATTTTTTTACATTTCAGGGCTTGTAATTCCTTTTACTTCTCTTGCCCAATCTCTATAAGCTTTACATGCCATTAATATGCTTTCAGTACCTCCAGATGTGGTTGTACCAGCTGCTTCTGGTGGTGCATTATACATGTTTAATACCATAGCGACTACTTCAGCATCCATTTTACGTACTCCGGGAAATACATCGGGGTGTAATTGGTTGCTAACAGAAAACATTGAATATGCTTCAGATGTCAATTTTGACAATTCTTGTCCACCATGATATATTGCTCCTGACACACGCCCATCCTTCCATTTTACATGTGATGACATTTCCTGATACCTATTAAACAAGCAATCATAATTATCATCATTATTTTTAAAAGAATATTTTTATTTTTTTATTTGCATGTTATATGTAAAAACCTTTTTAATTCTTGCTTTAATTTCTTTGAATCAAATCCAATATCTGGTAATGACAAATATCTGGGTTCGCCCGGTTTCTTAGGAGCAATTTTTTCTTCTAATTCTTTAATAGTTTTATCAAGTTCGGCTTGTATTTTGTTTCCAGCTCCCGGAGCTTTCTTTGCCGCTTTCAATAAAATACCAGTAATTTTTCGATAGAAATCAAACAAAGTACGGCTAGGACCTTGAATCAAAAGTTTTCTTAATAAAATATCTCCATAATTATATATTACTAGAATGAAAATAAAGTTTTTGATATGAACTAATTTCGATGAATTGAGGTACGAAAGAATTATTTGTATAATTTGGAAATTTGAATTTTTTGTAATGGTTTGTCGACTTTCCATCTTTATTTGATTAATTTAATTCTTAAATAATTTATATAAAAAAAAAGGTCAAATGTGGGAGATAATTTCTATTTTCATAGAGAGGCGCAGTCGGATTTCATACAAAATATTTGGATCCAATAAAAATTTGCAACACAGTGAATCTCGATTTAGTTTGGGCAATTATCCAAAAATCCGTTAAACCGAGATATCCGATATATCGAGAAGGTTTTTATTAAGGTTTATTATCCGCTAAATCGAGGTCCGCTAAATCGAGATTCACTGTGTATTGCAATTTGGTTTTTTATAATCAACTAACATCATATAATAATATCTCCAGCTTCGTATTTTAATTTAATTTTAATATTATCATTACCATGATCATCATTATCATTATAATTAATTGTAATTACCAATTACATTGTAATTTTTCAGATTGTTATTTTCTATTTCCAATCTAGCAATAATTTTCTTCAGATATTCAATTTCTTGATGACTTCTTTTAATCTCCTCGTCTCGTACTTTAACCTCTTTTTCAGTTGTTCCTTTATATTTCTCAAAATAATCTTTCCACGATTCAACTGTTTTAAAACTGGAAAACAATTGTTTTTCTTGGTTTTTTAAGTGTTCACAAAGTATTTCTTTGGCATCATTTAGACTTAATTGTGAAATCAAATGATCTGATGATGTCAATTCAGAAGAAGAAGAAGAAGAAGAAGAAGAAGAAGAAGAAGAAGAAGAAGAAGAAGAAGAAGAAGAAGAAGAAGAAGAAGATGATGATGATGATGATGATGATGATGATGATGATGATGATGATGATGATGATGATGATGATGATGATGATGATGATGTGAATGTTATCATCTTATTATCATTAATACCACAATTGGTAGTAGCGCCGTTAGTGAGAGTACCATTTGTGTAAGTAATAGTACCATTGATTCCATTGGTATATGTGGTGTTATTATTATTAATGGTTTCGGTGGTTGAATTTAAGGAATCATTTGTTAGAATTTTAATAGTAGAAGATGAAGTTGTTGTTGTTGATGGCAGTGATGGCGGTTGTGTTTCAGATTTAGACTGTTTTGTTAATGTTTTGAGATTTGTCATGGACGATGATGCTGTTGTTGTTGTCAAAGGCATGTCATTTGGGTTTATTGAATAGTTAGCTCCATTAGTTTTTATTACAACATTTGGCATTGATGTTAGAATGTCTTTGTTGTTGTTGGTGTTGTTGTTGTTGTTAATGTTGTTATTATTGACAATATTAGTAGTAGCAGCATCTTCTTCTAGATTATTGTTATTATGATTAAAAAAATTAGTTTGATAGTTTTCTGCCATATTTGATGATGTTACTGAGTTTGATACTTGTAACGATGATGACAACGACAATTCTAATGTAGGTATTGTTGATGCTGATTGTACCGTTTTAGGTTTAATTTTCTCTGTGTTTGGATTATAACTATAATTCCTATTTTGTTGATCATTGGGTTTTATTTCTGGAGGTGATTTACAAGTTGAACTAATAAAACCAATCCCTTCCTCCTCCACACCGTCATCATCAACATCAACAACATCAGTCGATTTAGAACATACAATGATTTCATTATATCTTCCTTTGAAGATACTAGAATGTGCAAAATCGTCACTTTGATCAATAAAGTCAGATAATCTATTTTCTGAATAATCCCCTTTCCAATTCAAAATACTATTCAATTTCGACAATGAAATTTTTCCATTTTTAAATGTTATCATTTTATTAATGAAAGATTTTAGATCAGGAATAGAATTATTTGGATTATGCATCACAACAATGTCAACTGGACTTCGATAGAAATCAAATTCTGTATAGGTTTCTAAAAGATTCAACAGTCTACTGTTTGGTAACATCTTTTTCTTATGAAGGTGATCTGTAATAACTGTGAGTTTAAGCTCTTTTTTATCATCAACATTTTTACTACTACTAAACAGCTCACGAATTTCTCTAATGATTTCAACTTCTTGTGATTTGACAAATGGAACTTCAGACTCATAATCGAATTTGAAGTCTGAATATATTGGCATGAATTCTGTTAGTTCGACTTTTGGTGAAAGATCCATACGTTTCAAATAGTCATCAACCAGTGACAATCTTGCTCTTCCGTGTTCCAAAAGGAATCTACGAATATGAAATAATATGTTTCTGTCAGTAGCTTTAAGGGTTATATAAGTCTCACCAGAAATTTGTGATATGTTGAACTCTTTATCATTGCAGTATAATAATTCTTTTAGATTTGTTTGTGGTAGCTGCGAATACTTCTTTACATATTCTTCGAGTTCTGTGTAGGTGACTATGTATTCTTTCACAATCAAATCACGAATTAATCTGGAGACAAAAGGACTGCTTGATCTGCATTGACTATGATAAACATTTGGGTTGACTAGTTGTGAAGATGCTTTCGATTTATTTTTTATATAAAAGGTGCCGTCACTTTCATAATATTCAAATGAGTCAGGACAGCTTTTGAGAAAATCTTTAAAGTCGTAGGTGATTGTTCCTTTGATGCCCCTAAGGTATATAACCAGTTCAGTGCACATGACGTGATTATCTGATGTGCCGTTTTGTTGAATGTAATCTCTAATATATTTTTCAGTTTGTTCCTGTCTAACATCAATCATTGTCTTAATACTTTTATTATTGACGAAATTTCTTTTGGGATTTTTGAGCTGAACACAGTTAACGCCTCGTTGTTTGTAAACAGAAAAAGTATCTTCATGTTCGTTTAAAAAATCTTTGAAATTTCTTGATGCATCCAGGACACCAACATTCTTTAGATGTTTCTCTAATTCAAAAGTAGAATCAACCAAATGTTTATCTAAATAAATCTTTGCCACTGATATAGTTTCATTATCTTTTTTATTTATTTTTGATGTTGTTTCACTTAAAAATCTTTGTTGATTATTATTATTATTATCATTTTGATAATTTTTTTGTTGTTGATGCTTTTGAAATTCTTTTTTTAACTGATCTTGATTTATTTGAATATCAAAATATTGTATGTCATTAGAATCGTCCTCATCCTCATCCTCTTCATCATCATCATTAATATTAAAATTTATTAAATCTTTAAATCTACTGCCAAATTGTGTACTGCTATTATTATTACTACTATTACCATTAGTAATAGTATAAGTACTTGTTTTATTACTAGCGTTTTTCAATTCAACTATAATGTTATCAGTGCCACCAGCAGCTTTACCCAACATGAATTCCTCCGAATGAACTTGCAGAATATTATATAGATTATCAGTGGTAACAGAAATGTTTCTTGTTGTTTCTAACCATTTAGCCAAAATTCCTAATGTAGTAGCAGTTGTAGTAACTTGACAAGTTTGCTCAGAATCGTAATATAGCTTTACAGTATTAACTATAATTGAAATATTGTCAACGCTTATCGTTGACATTATTTTTTATTTTTTTATTAGAAGGTAGAAAAACGCGTAACTTTTTTTAGTCAAAAAGATTATTGGTGCTGGTTGTATATATCTTTAGAGAAAAAGTTATTATTACACAAAGCGAACGTAACACAATTTATTGGTGATCAAATTATTTTGAGAGATGGAACGATTTACAAAAATCGTGTTAATTACCAAATAATTACCATTATATGATATAAGCAATTTTGTTACTTAACAAACTTTTCCTATATGATAACATATGCAGGACATAAGTTCTGACAAAATTTAATAAATGGATCCTCTATTTTTAGAGGAGGCAGACCTGCATCAAAAACAGCTCGTGAAAGAAATCCATCCTTTTTTTTCCGTCCAAAAAACCTTTCATTTATTCATTTTTGTTGCTTAATTTTTTTAAAAATAGATTCTTAATAATAATGTTAATTTTACCCCTTCTTAGAAAATAATAGTTTTAACATTATTTAGAACATCTTTATAGGAAACCAATGTTTGCCCATTGAATATATGGTGAAATGTTTTAATATTTATCTTCTAATTTGTTAGATGAGTTCAAGGAACAATTAATGAATTATTGAAAGAAGCAGATAATCCAAAATGTAGTTAGTTATTTTGAAAATTGCCTTGCTTGTCAAGCATTATACTCTTCAATACTTGTATAATATTACATTATAATAAGGCAATAAAAATATTTATGTATACGTTATATTTGTTATCATTTGATATATTTCTAATTCCTTGATTTTTAATTCATTGTAAACGTGGTTGATGCAAAATATGGACGTAATGGCAGACAATATTGCTCAACCAGTAATATATCATTAAAACTTTTGGAAAACAAGATCTCCATCAAATTCGCCAGTAAGAGTGCAAAATATTGCTGAATTATAACTTGTAAAGGTTGACTTTCTCTGTATATGACATATACTGTAATTATCATTTGGTAAACTATTCAGTGATCTTACATATTAATGCCTTAACTCTTGAGTTTT